TCCCCCCCCCCCCCCCCCCCCCCCAAAAAAAAAAAAAAACACTCTCAGGGGAACAATATGTGTAAGCATATTTTGGGCTTTGCAGACTCCATGAGAGCAAACTTAAAAAAACCCAATGGAGAAAGATAGCCACGAAGTGTTAGCTTCAGGGCATTAATGAATTCAGTGTACCATTGGCTTTTATATGGCGAAGCTTCAGGAATGCCAGTCGTTGGAAGGATCGGACTTCCGACTCTTTGGAAAGAAAAGAGAAACGTCTTGGGAAAGGGAATGGACTCAGAGTATGCGCCCCCCCCCCCCCCATGCGTCTTCACGACAGTGATGGACAGATCCTCGGGGTAGAAGCGTTCCGGCACGCGGCCAAGGATAAGTACCGGGACAGGGACCTTAAGTGCCACATTGCGAAATTCACATGGCATCGCCAGCTGTACCATCCTTCCACACTCACGTTCCTTTCGCACAGACTCCTCTGACACTCCCGATCGCCTGCTCGTCGGCAGGTACGAAGACCCACGCGTTTCGCTCTGTCTTTCGAAGCTTCTGCATCTTCTTCCTCGACCCGACGACGATTCACACGTCCGGGTTCATACGGCTCAGCTTTACCAAGGCAATCGTTCCGTATTCTGCTGCCAAATGTACGCATAGCAAACTCATTCATCAATCCAGAAGTGGTTTTTTTTTTCTTTGGTACCGTTTGAATCCGTACTGAGTATCTTACCTCAGGGGGGGGGGGGGGGGGGGGGGGGGGGGGGGGGGGGGGGGGGGGGGGGGGCGGGGGGGTGGGGGGGGGGTGGGGGGGGGTGGGGGGGGGGGGGGGGGGGGGGGGGGGGGGGGGGGGGGGGGGCTGAGAGAGAGTGTGTGTGTGTGCGTGGGGCTACAAAACCTCCCAGAGAAGAGGTTATGCACGTCTATTTCATAATTTTACGATAAGTTTCTTTTTTTTATATTTATCGTGACCAGTTGCCGGCCTTGGAGCGATGAGCCGCCATAGGCGCATGCGTGGGTTCCCTCGTCAATGCGGGGTATTCAAACCCCCCCCCCCCCCACACCAAAACTGTCCGACACGAACGCGCGATTTTGCGTCCCTGTTCCCGTTTTGATTAAAAACGAGTTAGCTAGTCTTTATTCCCACGGATCTGAAACCAGTCGGTCGTCCCCTTTCGCTCGTTACCAACGGATGAGAGAAAAGTTAAGTCAAGATGGTTATGGAATCGACCCCTGGAGTCGACCTCCTCACAAGTCCTTGTATCGGGAGATACAAGTCCTTTGTATCTCCCGAGCTGAATCAGTATCCTATATCGTTCATCTTCGCTCACTCCTTGATAGCACTAGAGTGACCGTGTCTTCCCAATGAGTGAGTGCGTCGAAGTTGTTCTAGGAGATAGTTGTATTCGCCCTTCTGAGATCGATAGTCCTCACGGCGAGCACAGCCCCAGGCTGCGAGAGACGATCCATGAAAATTCCGGCAAAACTCGGCTGGCGGCAAGGAGCAGGGCTCGATCGCGTCCATCGAGCGCGACTTCGATTGCGACACTCGATCAGGACCCGACCTCCATCTGATATGGACCGTGAAGGTCCACGTGAAAGTGTGAACGACCGCCATGTCTGATGCTTACGGTTCGGAAGACTGGATGTCGCAATCCCAACGATTCGTCCTTTCCCGGAGGAAGCTCCTGGCCTCTTTCAGTATGCAGCTCATCTCCTTATCGGTCATTTCGAACGAAGGCCGAGAAGGAAGAGCAATCGGGCGTCGAAGTCCATGCGCTTAGGATGACATCATCCAGTCAGGGACTCCTTCGGAACGGAACATCACCTTGATCGTGAGTGCCATACGATTGATTTCGGGCACTTTTTCTCGTTGAAGCTGAAGCCTCATGGGACAAGGACGCACAAATCAGTGAGAAAAAAAAAAGACTCTCACCTTGTTACTTTGCGGTCTCCAGACGGACGCCGACACACAGAATGGTATATCGGAAGCCATGTATTCACATGTATTATAAATTTCACTCTTGTGCTTGCCGCCATTTTGCTTTGTGTCGATTCTCTAGTCCTCATTTGAAATCGCATTTTGTGATTTTGAAAAAAAAAAATTTATATGCAATCTGGACTCATTCTTTTCTATTGACTTAAACGGATGAAAGGGGAATCCCTTGCGCTATGCTGAGCCACCATAACTGATACTGATAACACCAGTAATGTCAATGCAATGTAAATGTGTATTCAACGCCAATGTGGGAGAGGGGATGAATGCCCTGCGGAAGTGAAGAACCCTACTGCGATCAATGGCATGATATTTGCCGCTTTGGCAGATAGGGATCGAGTTCTGTGATCCATAGAAGAGGGAAGAAGTCAGACACGCTGCTACTCACTCACACGCATCCCACGTGCCTCCACCTTCCCAGTCAGTGAGAGTGAGCGAGCGAGTGAGTGAGTGAGTGAGGACAGAGAGGGGAGGGGAATTTCCCCTCAGGGTATCCGGTCTCAGTCATTCGAGTGAACATGGCTGCCGCCGCCGCCTATCTCGCGTCTCTCTACTGTTTTCGTTTCTAAGACTTCGTTATCCGATCTTCGTCTGAGCCGAAAGTGATCATTCGACCATCATGCCATCTGTGGGTGAGCATTGCGACGTGAGTGGTGCCCGTGGTGAAGACGGGAGCGCTGTGAGATCTCCTCAAGAGCCTCAACTCGTGAATGGGAACGTGAAGGAACAGCATTCGGCCCAGGCCATCAGACAGGTCAGAACTCAATATGTTTTCCTTTTCCCTTTCCATTTTCATTTCCGCATACAGCTGAAAGAAGAAAGCCGGTTTCGCCCGGGCTAAGACTCCCCGCATGGCTTTCGTCTTGATTGACCGGTTTTTCTCCGAGGTGGCATACAGATGATTCCCCCCCGAAATTCTGGTTATTTTTTAAAAAATAATTAATGGAAACTCCAAAATGCACCAATACATATAGGACACAAAGCATCATATGTGATTCAGAGGTATATTGTTTCATTCATCGAGAGTCCTACGACGTTGGAAGGAGGAAATGGATGGAATGATTGATTGCGACCTGAGCGCGTGGGGTGCAGGCATGGCAATAGCATCCTGGGAAGAGGCCTGCGCGGACACCATTCCCATGTTTCCGCATTGGATGTCACGCTTGGCTACAGAGTTCAGTGCGGGCGACCCGCGGATATCCGAACCGCCGCAACCTCATAATCGTATGGTGTTGAGCAAGCTCTCATGCATAGCCCACCGATGACTCAGACGCACGAACCCCCGTGACGGTGTCCTCGGGGTTACATTATATTACTTTCTTTTTCCATGTTCTTGCCATTTCCCATATAAAGACCGCAACAACACATAAACAAGTCTGTCATAACCGTGACCCGGGAGGTGTGATTTTTGGACAGCCCTACAAGTCCAGTGGCAGAAAAGCAAACGGGAAAAGCGCCATGAGAACAAGCTAAAATGCCGGCTTATAGGGGGATAATAATGAGATCCGGCGGATGAACGTAATGGGAAAGTCATTGGAGGCTTTCCCCGGCTCCACTGTTCCCCTCTTATTCCCCCTTTGTAATGCAGGTCATTGCCACCGTGTGATCCGAACTGCACGTAGATGTCTATCAGGGATCTATAATCGTCTCTTCTGGCCTATCAGGCATCGAAGAAGAAATTCCAGAGAAATTGTGCACTCTCTGTGTGTAGGCTGCATTGTAGCCATTCCTCCTTACAAGGGAGTGGCATTGAGATGTCTGGCGGGGCAATGGTGAACGTCTGTCACTGAGGAGGAAGAGACCGTCTGGTGTGTTCCCCACACCAGCACGCACGTGTTCCTTCCCTTCCCTGCCCCGTCTGAAAATAACTTGATTGGGAATCAACAGCATGTCTTTCTCATCCCACGACCGGCTGGTTTCCCTCAGGACCACGAGAAACCATGTTGATGCTGGGAGTATGGTTTCTCTTTCAGTGGGGACGTCAATTTTTGTCATCAGACGGCCTTCCAGGGGAGAATGAAAGCAATTTCTTTGTAACTCCTTTTGCTCAGTAATAGAAAAAGACAGCTGAGCATATGTAGTTTATTACAAATACTTTGGAGATTAATAAACATTAATTGGATCCCTACGCTTTAACTTGACCATGAAGTTGTAATTCACTCTGGATGATACTTTATCCAGAACTGATGTGAACGAAAACCTCGTTTGAAGTGCTGATCGATTGGTCTAGGTAAATGAAACCCACATTTATTGCTAGCCTGCCGGGCGAATTTCCATTCTTTCTGTTGAAAATAGCATTCTTCCACTCGTTCGAATGACCTCAGGTCGTATTGCAAAAATGAGCAAGCAAGAGCAACGTTGCTTGAAGTTGTTCTAAGCTACATCCATATCTGTTCTATAGAAGTTTTGAACAGTGCATACGTTGAAGGCACGTTGTAGTAAAGTCTGCAATGAAGAGACGAGGATGGAACGAGGCCATCCCGTATTTGCACAACCCATCATCAACCAATTTAGATTTCAAGCTTGAGTTTGCTTTCGAATCAAACTTCATTCCATTTCAGGAACAAGTGCTTTTGGCTACTTCCACTCCAGAATGTTTTTTTTTTCCTTCATATATTTTTTTATTTCTTAGCAAGTCGACTTACTTTATTTATGTGGAAGTTTTCAAAAGTTTTTTTTTGTTGCTATGAACTTGCAACATTCTTTCGATTGTCCATGCCATAAAATGTATTTAATGCTGACGGACCTAATGTGTGTCCACGAACAAAGGTTTGCAGCATTCAAGACTGTAGTATATGCACTCAGAAGTAACTAAAGTCGTAATAATGCTTTCGAAAGGAGACAAAAAGATAAACCTCTCATCACTTTTGCGATACCAAGGCGAACCAGAACATATCCTTTCCTCTTATGGCTCGAAGGGGCCTGTCTAGCCGACGATGACAGAGATTATTATTATTTATCAGATTTGTTTTTGTTCTTCCTTTTATCTTATGCATTTTTTTCGTGTATTTGTAGGAAGGACGAATTACGAATAAAGGATCTAAAAATGAACGTATTAGACAAGGAAAAATAAAAGATATCACCGAAAGAGAAAAGGAAACAATGGGTAGGGAATAAGGAAGACGGACTATAGAGAGGAAAGTAACCAATCTGGGCCTGCAAAGGATAGATACTTGGAGGCAGTGAATTGGGTGGTGCATAGCAATGGAATTCGTCTTGGGAAAAGTAGATAGAGAGAAGATATGGTGGGTTGAGCTGTGCGAGACGCAAAATGCCCAGGGAAATGCAACTAATGAAATAATAAGGGACAGGATTGGATTTAAACTGATTGGGCATGCCTAGGAGGCACAAAGATGGACTCGTGCTGAAAAAGTTAATCAGAGGCCGATGGGGGGTCGGGGGCTTATGCCAATGGCGGTGCGTTGCTCTTTGTTCCCACGCATGGTCCTTAGATGGGAGTGAGGGGTGGGGTGGGGGGAGAAGAGAGAGAGAGAGAACTATTCGAAGAGTAGAAATTAGTGCTCCGATTTTGATAACATTTTACTGTCCCAGTCCATTTGGGTTCTTAATGATGATCCTGCACTACTCCATCTTTATCCTCACAGCAGGTTCTAGAAATATCGTTAGCCCTTAGACTGTCAGCTCATGCAGACCAACTTCCATGAACATTCAGCAGTTTTCAGAGCCAACCGAGCACCAGCAGTGACACTAGTGTTGCAAATGAATCTGGATAGTGCTCCGAATCTTTCTATTTATGTCAAAAGACCAAAAAAGCATAAATATTTCATTCACGAACTTTTGTCAATTATGTGAAGAATGTCCCACAGATTTTTTTAAAACTGCTTCCTTCAGGAGTCCTGATGACAATTTTTATTATTATTGCGAGGGGTCTTGGATTTCGAGGCGAAACCAAAAATTTTCATGGATTAATGCAATGTTGCTTTAAAAGTTTCAAGCATGAATGTCATAATCAAAATTTTGTTCTGACATGTACTGACACTGATATTGGTTATATATATATTGGAAAATGTATGTGATTTGATAGTTTAAAACTAATTTGTGTGGCCTCTGGAATTGTTGCTACCGAAAATTTTCCATATAATGGTGCTGTATGAGAGTTTTGAGCCAACGAGGCGATCCTCAGGATCACCATATTAACTACAAATACCCCCTCGTATTTCCCCCTCTTGAATAGAAGACTGAGGACGGGCAGTTGTAAGCTGGAATCAAGAGGATTCAGAAGCAAAGTTCTACTCTGTTCAAGCGACATGATCATTTCCTGGGTTATAAGCTTAAACTGACAGAAGTTCAGATCTCATGACGAAGTAGCAAGAGAGGAGAAGCTGTACTCGAGTCCGATTGTCTGGAGGGGGGGGGGGGGGGAAGACCACATTATGGGGACGCAGGGAAGCTTGTCTTTGGGAGAAGACTGCATCATTGGGAGGTAATGAAGCTCCGCTTTATAAGGACGTAGTGTCGCTTTTCTGGGATAATCAAGACTGTAGCGTCGAAACGAATCTCAGACCTAATTGAACTCTCAGGGAAGATATACTACAGGGTGATTCATAAGTCAGGTTACATAGGGAATATCTTTATTCTGGGTGCTTCCAGTTAAACTCCTCAGCGATATGTCTGTAACTGCCATTAGCCGCCAACAACACCACCTCAACACGTTCTTCAATTGACAAAGACATCACTGCGAGCATTCACACACCTGCAACAATAATAAGGATTACCCCTATGTAACCTGACTTATGAATCACCCTGTAGTGTAAGATTTCATTGCGAGAAAATGCAGACGAAGTGGAAATGGGACCAGACACTTCCTGAAAGTGCCATCCAAGTCTTAGTAAGATGAGACTTATAATTTGAGCAGTCTACCTCCATTAATGCCTATGCAAAAGGAGACCTGAGTCTCCTGCAAGCCCATATCCGATAGAAGCTTGTAAGAAAGAGCCTTTCACTGGCTGGTACAAACTCTATAACCAAATTTGAAAGGAAATATGCTGCTAATCTAGGAAGAAGTCTCGCCGATGCCATCAAAGAAAGGTTGATAGTTTCCATAGTGGTTCAGTTTAGAAGAAATGCTACTTTCAAGCAATTAAGAAGAAAGACATCAAGGCATATCAAGAGGAACCCATCAGTAATGCTTTGTTACACCTATCTTCCAGCCATAGGTTTGGAATACGGCATTTGGTGCTATTGTATAACACATTGGCTCCCAAGTGCATCACCAGTAATACATTTTGCATGTTAAAAATTCTGCTTGTCAACCAACACTATAAGGTGTTTTTTGCATGAGACTGATTTCTGACTTCTGTTTTGCCATGCATACCTTCAGTAGTGCTTAAGTTCGCAATGCACTTCATTATTTAAAGCTCCTTGCATGTATTTACGGGCAACCCTTCTTGCCAATGTGCCTTAAGGCATAAATCAGGTACACTCAAGACAGAGGGAACGAACAATTTTCCAATTCTGTATATATGTTCTGTCTCAGTCTAGACATTGGCCTTGAGCTTCTCTTTGAAACGCTGGAGAGAAGCTCCACGACGTAGACGAGCTTACGAGGGTCTTGGAGGCTGGGTTGCGCAAGCTTTTAGCCGGTGCATTTGCATTTCATTAGCCAATTTTTTCTTGCCTGAGGAAGGCAACTACTTCCTGAAAGTTTGGCCTCTTCTTTGGAGCCCAAAAAGAATATTATTTAGGGCATTTTCATTTGACTCAACGACAACAACTGCGATCGAAATCGAAACGCGATCACGTGCTCTAGCACGCTAAGGACATTCACTCATTTATGCACATAAGACTTTCTTTGGCGGTACTTGCCGTTTTTGTTTAGTTTTGTGTTTGCTACCAGGGAAATCTCAAATTACGCATAGAAAGAATATGTGGAAATGCACTTAAGGTAACGTCAGACGTATACGGCTTATGCAACCATGGTATTAAATGGCTAATGCTATTCACTGCTTGACGATCATGAATGTTTTGAAACTTCGATGATTTGAGGCCTTGAAACTTTTCTGATATGAAGCCACCTGTAGCCTATCTTATGAGGAATCTTTATGATCTTCCAGATCCACTTCAATGCTCCCACAAAATAAAAATTAATTTTCGAAGCTGGTGGCGTGAAAAAGCATTCTGAAAGAAATCTGGCGCGCTAGTTCAGCAATTTTCGCGGTGGATGACAAATGGCATGCGCTGTGGTATTCGAAGATAATGCGTTCATTTGGAATTGAGAACTTCAACGTGCATCTCAGTTTGAAGG